GAGACCTACGTGAACCTAGTGCTCTAATACCATGTTGTCACGACCCAATTCTATAATAGGCCGTGATGGCGCCTAACGCCATCGCTAGGCAAGCCAACTGTGAACTATCCACGTGATTTCCTCTTTTTAATATAGTTTTCTAACCTGCCGAGGCAAACGGCCCGCTCCCACGAGAGTAGTGGAAAAGTCACCTCGCTCACGGAATATACTTGCGGCGCGGTTAAATATAAATTTCTCAAGTTAATCATAACATCCCTCAATTTTTTTCAAAATAAAGAAATTTAACTTGAAATTTTTAAAATTTGGAAATCCTCAATCCCAACTACATTCAAAACAATTAACAAACATAATCAAGTAACGGAATCCACAAAGTATGGTGTAGGCCTAAAACTACCCGGACATAAGCATGAATAGTAGCTATGGACGGACTCTCGTCACCTCGGTCGTACGTAGCCCCCAAAAATAGCAACATATATTAATTTGGTTCACCTATAGGGTTAATTTCCTCTTACAAGGTTAGAAAAAGAGACTTATCTCGTCTCAAGGCCTACTTTTCGGTCCAAGATTGTGCCCAAACCCTCAATTGGAGCCAAACGACTCGCAACTAGTCAAATGTTATTTAAAATAATTAATACATGCTTAAAAGTTCATATCCTAGCTATCAAAGTGATTTCCCAAGCATATTTGCAAAATTCCTAAAATTCACCCCCAGGCAAACATGCCCGGATTTCAAAATTTTTTTAAGAAAGTTGTTACCCTTAACCTCATGGACTCAAATATATGATTTTTACTAAATTCCATAACAAATTTCGTGGTTAAATCTCATTTTTATCAAAAATCTAGGTTTTCACCTAAACCCATAAATTTTTTCACTAATTTACATATTACAATTTACCCTTAACTATGTATTTAACTCAGAATTGGTAGAAATCACTTACCTCCAAGTGCTAGGTGAAAATCTCTCTCAAGAAGCTCCAAAAATCGCCTAAATAATGAGAGAAATGTGTTAGAAATGGCTTAAGTCCCGTATTAAATGAACCTTTCTGCCCAGTGATTTTCACACATACGGTACCTTGGCCGTATCTGTGGTCCCGCACCAGAGGAAAAATCCTCGCAGGTGCGCATTTCCCTTACCTGGCCAAGCTCCGCATCTGCGGACAAAAAGGGACCGCTACTGTGCGCCTTCCGCCCCTGCGACCACTGTTCTCGCACCTACGATCACACAGGTGCGCCAAAACTTATGCACCTGCGGATGGCTGGGCTGCCCTCACTGGTTCGCTTCTGCAGCTCGTGGCTTGCACCTGCGGCTGGCGAAGCGCAGGTACGATTATGACAGTAGCTGGGAGCTTCAGCTACGGCTCCCAAGTTCCAACTTGGTCCGAGTCTCGTCCGATTAGCACTTGGGTCCGCCGAGACCCCCTCCCCCAACATATCAACAAGTGTGGAATCATAAAACGGACTCGCTAAAACTTTCGGAACGCATCAAACAACACTAAAACTAAGAATCAGACCCGAAACCAATTGAATCAAAAATACGAACTTCAAGTTCTTCAATTTTATTCTCAATGCACCGAAACGTACTTAAACTACTCGGAATGACTCCAAATTTTGCGTGCAAGTTTTAAATGACATTACGGAACTATTCTTGATCTCAAAATTTTATTTGGACCTCGATATCACCAAAACCTACCCCAGACCAAATTTAAAGAACTTCTAAAACCTTCAAGGAACCAACTTTCACTATTAGGCGCCAAAACGCTCTCTGCTCATCCAAAACCTGATCCGAACATATGCCCAAGTCCAAAATCATCATACGAACTTATTGGAACCATCAAATCCTGATTCCGAGGTCATTTGCTCAAAATGGTGACCGAAGTCAAACTTGGCCTTTTTTAGCCAACATTAAGGAACCAAGTATTCTGATTTCAACCCGAACCCTTCCAAATTCTGAACTAACCATCTCCGCAAGTTATAAAACATTAAAAGTACGTACGGGAAGTCTTATTTAGGAGATCGGGATTCTAGAAAGTAAAATGACCGGTCGGGTCGTTATATTTTTCGTCTCCATTTTTAGTTTTAATACAATGTATACAATATTTTGCTTGGCCAGAAAACATCATCTCCATCGGACTTTCTTCTATTATTTGCTATTTAGTTACATACAAAGATACAAATATATTGTATTCTATACAAATTTTCTCAAATACATTATTTTTTGCTTGTATTTATATATTTCGAAGGTTTGTGTTTTTTTAATACAGCTGAATACACAAGTGTTCATGCATGAATACATGATATAAACATTGAAATATACTAAATACAAATATTAAAATAAAACAGAATATAAACAGTGAATACATTTAATTTAAAATACAGTGAAATACAGTAAAATGCACTGAGTACAAATAGAAATACAATGAATACAACCAATAAAATATACTGATACAACAGTAATAACATGTATTAGGAATAACTAAAATACTATTAATACAAATATATTTGAATAAACTAAATATAAAATAGCGGATACAGTAAATACAAACATTGAATCTAATGAATGCAACAGTAAAAAAAATATTGAAACACACTAAATACAAAAGTTAAATACACCAGTTATATACAATTGAAAAATCATTCTAATTAATTGGGTTGATAATGATGCATGTTAGAAATGATTTTGTTGAGTTATATTAGGAGTGTATCACGCTAATTGATATTATTTTTGTTATCAGACAGCTGGACATACCTATTTTTAAGGTGATTGTCGTTATTGTATTCATGATACATGGCGCGAATACATGTGAATACATGCGCGTACAGATGGACTGCCTAATTTTAGGTGTTTTTGCTGTTATATTCATGAATACAGCAGCGCGAATACAGCGAGTTCACTACCGTAACAACTGAATAGTAGCTATAGGAAGTTAATAACTACTAAACAATAGTGGCTTCTGAAAATTCCTCTGCAAAAAATACTAAATAGACTGTCATTATACAAAATATATACAAAATAGACATTTCAGGCTATTAGATATAATATGTTTGGGCCGGAGGGATATTTCGGGTCAATGGGAAAAATATGGGCTATTAAAATCTTGAAGGGCTATAGAGGATCGTTTTCTCTAGTATATTTTGTTGTTTGAAGATTATATGCTTTGAATACTTTGTTTGGTAAAATACATAAGTTTGAAAAACTGAATTGCACACTGCAATTTTACGAGTGTTTATTTACCCCTATTCTAGTTCAAAGTAAATTTAATACCACCTTCAAAGTATATAACTAGTCGCATCGTAGAGAGTGTTTTTCACTCTCCCTATAATTTTGCCATGTCAGATACTATTTAATTTTACTTTTTTCACCTTTTTTCTTTCATTTTCACTCCGTTTGTCTTCTTCTTTTTTCACTACGTATTTCTTTTCATATCCCTTCCCCGAGTCCCATTGCCAGCGTATTCATCGCCTTTCAAACCAACTAAAATTATTTCTAAACTTTCTCGATGAAATATTAGTTTTGGCTAAGTAATACCAAGAGAATATGGTGAGAGAGATATAAAGGATTGAAATTTGACCGGAAAAAATGGATGTTCGCCGGAAATTTTTTGCCGGCAACATATATTAACACTGTCTTTTTAGTCTTGCCAGTTCTTGAAAAGGTCTCAAGAGAATAGCGATGAACTTATTTCTCTTGTCCCCTGCATAATTGTTCTCTGTTTCATGGGCCCTCTTTCTTCCGTTAGCAGCGGAAGAAGCAAAGGCCTCAAAAGGGACATGAGATATAGGCGTTGGTGGGTGCAATATTGAGTTTTGATTTAAAGGATCTAAGTTGCTACCAAAGTAATGAATATCTAGAATAGTATTTAAATTTACCATAGTTACCGACGGAATCATGAAGAGAAGGGGGGGTGTTCTGTTTTTTGTCGTTTTTTTTCCAATCTTACGCGCCTTTTTTTTAAAATATAATTAATAATTAATTTTCTGTCACATCAGCATTTGGGGTGGTATTAAATTTACTTTGAACTAGAATAGGGGGTAAAATAAACTCTCGTAAAATTGCAGTCCAGTTTTCCGGACTAGTTTGAGGGGAACTTATGTATTTTGTCTTTTTTATAGTCTACTAGAATTTGCTTTTAGTGAGTGTGTTTATATCAGTTCAGTGTGTACTAATTATAGTAGAATTATTAAATATATATATATAATGTTGGATACTTTGAAACAAATGCTTCAAAAAGAAACTGCCAATGTATCTTTATTTTAACAAGGTATATATTTCTTTAATATAGGGTTAAGAAGGTGCTAAGCAAGTACTCTTGCTCCTTTTCCCTTTTTTCTAAATACCTTTCTTTTTTTTAGAAATTTTATTTGTGTAAATACGTACAGATATGGAATTTTTATCTCTTATATGTCAATTATATTTATAAGATGACATTTGGCAAATTTATTGATATCTTTTACAAGCGGTATATTAGGTGACAAATGTTTGTATCTGGTAGGCGAACGTACACCTAAAATTAGGTTAGAAGAATGCAGAATGATGAGAAGACAACCTAATAATTGAGAAAGCTGTACTGGGCACAAGTCCACTTGGTTCAAAGGAGAAGTGGACTTGAAGTCGTGTGATTGAAATATAAATCCACTTCTGTCAAGTTTGACACGAACACTTTGTCAATGGAAAAATGTGTTACTGTAATTTATAGCAGCTGGTCTGTTGGTGTCAAAATCATTTCAACAAATGCATGATATTCAAGCTGAAGTTCACTCAAGTCATTCCTGGAATTTGAACCAATATTGTAATGTTAAATGAGGATGAATTGACCTTACTCCGGAATCTGGACTCTGAAGGAAGAGTATGAGAATCTTGCTAGATTTTTCCAGCTCTGTTGTTCCTTTTCCTCAAACTAAAGAAGAGAATTTTTTTTCTTAGTATCAAATAAAGCAAAAACCTAAATAATGGGTGAGTAAAACATCTTTGCTTGCTTGCAAAAATGGAAAAAGAAAAACTCTTCATCTCACCAACCAATATAACCAAATCTTTCAAAGGCCAAAGTTCCAATTTTAGATACAAATGATGCTTTACAAATTACAATATATATGATTTTATCATGTTTCCCGGGAATAATATATATACTCTGTCGATCATTAGTTTTTCGACAATGTTCTTTCACACCCTGAAGGAGGCCATTCTCCCCACTAAATATGATACAGATATATTCAGTATCCTTATAGAAACTGCTTATAGAATATCGAGGCAGAAATACAGAAAAAATGCCTATGCCATTACTTGGACTGTTGGTTCTGAGGTGGATGAGCTTGTGGTCTTGTTGGGCATGCCGCGGTCATAGCACGTAAGCGTCGGGCAATTTCAGTGAAAGATGGCCGAACAGCAGGATCTGGAGCCCAGCACTGTTCCATAAGAATTCTCCACTCGGCGTCGCAGAAGCTCGGCACAAGTGGTCTCAAGGTGTTGTTGACTATACCACCTGCATGTAACACATGATGCAAGAGTGCGTGAATTTCTAAACTTTAACTCTGGTTCCTATATTTCCTAGCTCTGTTAACAGAAAACATGAAGGCTTTTATGACCATTCCTCTGCATCCTAGTGAAGCATCAGAGAACCATAGAAACGACTGTGAGCAACACCTTTGGAAATAGATGTCCCACAGAAAAAATTTCACCGTATGTTCAGCCACACTTCACATGGCATCCAAAGAAGATGATTGGTGGAACTCGAAATAAGTAGAAACAGGAAATAATGAACTTTTTGAGAAGGAAACAGCAAGTAAACTTATGCTATGCTTCTACATTTCTTCACTTATTGCTTTTATGCAATGCCTTTCACCGAGAGTATCAGCATCATTCTAACTCTCGAGTGTATCAACATCATTTAGTATCTTGGTCCTTGATGAGATCAAATATTTCTGAACAAATTATAAAAGCGATCATTGTGTCATTAGGAGATGAAATTAACCATGCCTAACTTGCTGTAATACATTTCTATGATGTTCTATATTTTTCTTTGTACCAGTTAAAATATTGGTTATTGCTGCTTTTCTACTGTTAATGACCTCTTGACACTCCTCATTCATTCGTTTCATTTTCAAGGCAGCAACTTGTAGATTTGTAGGAAAGGAAGGATATAACGAGTAATTTTTATTTCATGACAAGAAAGTAATAAAAGAAATGCCAGTACTTTAAAGCAAGAAACAAAGGTAAGATAAGGACTGAGTAAAGCAAACCTATAATAGCTCCATAATGCATATTAGCATAAGGTTCCTCGCCAGTAAGAATTTCCCAGAGCACAATCCCAAAGGAGAAAACATCAACCTGCAAAGTCTCAAAATGTCACTTAGAAGAGGAACATGTTTCTGATTTACTTTCTCTCAGATCTCTTGTATCTGAGAAGTTAAGGTCCTTGTCGACTTGATTGCCAAAGAAAGATAGAGGGAGAAGCATCAACATACTTCCTACCCATCACAAATTAATAGGGGGTTAGATTGAAAATTTAATAACAGAAATTCGAGTTGATCAGCAAGAATATGCTCTCCCCATCCCCATGCCACAGAAAGAAACAAAGATGCCTGAGACAGGCTATATTTCATATCAATCTTGGATATGTCAACCTTAAGATTAATATCTGAAATCTTACCTTCTCAGAAACCTTGTTACTGCTACCATTCAATAGCTCTGGGGCCATCCATGGAAGTGTTCCCCTAACTCCACCAGTGACCAACGTATTTCTCTTTATTTTTGAAAGTCCAAAATCACCAACCTATAATAAAATTGACAGGGCTTTTATAAGTTTTGTTTGATCCTACAAAACATTAAATTGTCCGTTTCTTGGTAACATAAATTTTCCACCAACAGAAACATGTTAATAATGAACATGATGAGTGAATACCAAAGTGAATGGCAAAGGAAACAATTTATAGCTTAAAGGCACTCTTAACATGACATGAATAATCAATTAAAGGTAGTCAAGGAAAGATGCTCTTGGATATACTAACACATCAGCTAGTGATTAGTCATCAGACTCTTTATTGCAAAGAACAAAAAGGAAAGCGATTATATACGTGTACACACCTTACAGATGGGTCGAGAAGGATCTTTTAAGTTGACAAGCAAGTTGTCACATTTCAAATCAAAATGTACAATATTCTTTGAATGCAGATATTCCATTCCGAATGCAGCATCCATTGCAATTATGAGCTTCTTGCGACGATCTAGGTGTCTAGCAAGTCAGGATTGGAAGAAAGTATGAAGTTTTGTCAAGGGATACAGAGGAATATATAAAACAAAATAATAGGAAGGGTTAAAAGGGTTTTACACCTGTCCTTGCAAAGCAAAACATGTCTCAGAGACCCATTCACCATGAATTCTGTTACTGTGGCAAGAGTTCCCCCTGGCCCATCTTGCACTACACCATAAAATGCCACCACATTTGGATGATGAAGCTTTGAAAGAATATCAGCTTCACGCCAAAAATCTAGAGTCTGGAAATAGATAAAGGGTTCCATTGTCAAAATGCTTGCATAAAGAAACCTCAAAGCATGACAAATATATGAACTGATAAGCTTCTACTGATTTAGATTTGATTAAAACAGGACTAGATGTCTGAACTGTGATGAAATTCGCTTTCTGTACTGCTATAAAAATAGTTGAAAGTGTTCAAGATGTATTTTGGACGATTGTTTGAGTTTGTAAAGCTGGAGGAAGCCGTACACAAATTTCATGGAACAACAAAAACAGCAAGCAGAGCAGCACAAAGTTACAGTTGAAGAATAACAAAGCAAGGGGAAACACGCTCAAACAACTTTGTTTCTATTAGGTCTAAAACTACATATTTGGATTCAAGCTGATGAACCAGGAACCGGTTAATTTTATTGTGGCAGATGTAATTATACAACTCCAAAGACGCTCACCAATCTCTCCTGCTCGGATGAGCGACCTGTGAAACAGCTTTTCTTTATTCTCTTTATGGCAACATCAGTTCCTCTCCATTTTCCATGATAAACAGTTCCAAATGTTCCAGAACCCAATTCCCTTAATTCCTCGAGATCTTCATTCTTGATAATCTGCGAGGCAAATAAAACAGGTTAACTAAAAAACTGACTCAAAGCACAGCTGCGTGTACTTATTACATGACTAAATAAAATGATTTCTAATTTGTCTAGCTAGTTTAAACATGCAAATCACGTAATAAAAATCCAGCCCATTTTAATGTATTCTTGATTGATAAACATAAAATCAATCTCAATATGTACATCAGACGTATAAACTGAAGACCCAGAAGAGCAAGCCATGCATATGAACAAAATGCCCCCTCATTAAAGCAACAAGTTGTAAACAATCTCTCCATATCTCCATCAGATGCATAAATCCAAGACACAGAAAAGAGCAAGCCACACATATGAACCAAAAGTCTTGGCCTCTCCAAGCAAAGCAATGAAGTAGCAGATAAAAATCAAGAACTAAAGATATCTAGAGCTCTAACAGAGTTTTTTTTTAATAAAAAAAGGTCAACAAAAAACCAATAATCCAAAAATTACTCACTTCACGTCTAACTATTGTCATTATATGGATATTCAGGCAGAAAACCAGAACTTGAATTTTTCCATACATTTTCTATGAAAGAATGTTATTGGCAGTGACCTACGGGTGCTACTTTAGGTAGCCTGCATCACTCATTCACTCAACCATCATATAGAACACATACTTCAAGATATGCCAGATGTATTGATGTTTATGAGGGTTTAAGTCCACAATACCTGCAATGAGCTTATATCGACATCTCCCATAGAGAGATCAATGAGTGGAAAACCAGTATTCTGAACTTCTTGGTTCCCATCCTTCATGTTAAATGAAAGGGTTTTTTCAATCACATTTGTACGAGTTAAAAAATGAGAATATAACCTGAAGCAGAATTATGCAGCTAGAAGTGTCAACAACTAAAAAGGAACACCTGATAATCCGATTCAGCTACTTTTGAATTCATTGCACCATCATACTGCATGCTTTGGATGCCAGTGGTTTGAGAAGGATCGTATCCTGAAGGCACATTCATGGTGGATGGTCCAACATTGTCACGTGATAGATGCTGCATATCAGCTTCAATATTCATCCGGGAGTCCATATGGTCTATCATAGCACTGTCGTTAAAAGGAGGATAACCATAATCCATGGATGCTCCATCCTCACCATTTGCACGGGTGGAAGAGAGACTAAGATGATCCTGGTCTATCAGAGACACATCTTTTCTGACAAAATCATCTTGGGCTAACTTTTGAAAAAAAGACCAGTGCTTTGGTTCATGGTTCTCCATATTCAAACTCAAACCAGTTCCATCAGCGCGCAGTGGAGCAGACACTGATGCATCACCCAATATTTTAGCTCTAGAGAAAATATCAGAGAGAAACTCTCGAGGAAAGTGGTCATTAATGTCAATAAGAATGTCTCCGTGATCAGGAGAGCCAGTGGTAACAGATGGCTTCCCTGTGGCCACTGCTCCAACTTGAGGCTCGCTCTCAGCTAGCGGCTGTATTTTCCCCATAGCTTTATTTTCCTCTGTTCTACTTGCAGCTGCATCACCCCGGTGAAGCTCGTTTGGCTTGGAAGCAGATTCATCGCGAACATTATTGCTAGTGATAGCATTATTTGGTCCAGATTTTACTTTATCGGCATAAGTTGCTGCTTTCAGTACGCGCTTCTCAAGATTTGCTTCAGAAACATCTTCACCAACTGTTGAATTAACTCCCTTGGTATTGTCACCTAACTCTACAGACTGCTGAAGTTCAATCTGTTTCTCTTCGATAGCAGGTTGATTAGCAGACCGAGTCGGCCCAGAAGGTGTAAATTTCTCGGTCTGGGGACTCACATTTCCATCATGTAATTTATCAACTGATTCCAGGATCTGCTGTCTGCCTTCAGAGTGTGCATGGGTCATTATGAACTGTGAAGAATCATCAGATTTGGACAAGCGATTTAGGCCAGCCTGCTCCCTAGGCAAACGTTCAGAACGAAAAACTCGTGGAGGCATTGAAGGTGGGTCATAGCTAAGGTCATATGGGTATGCCTCAGAGTCACCATAGTCAGCGTTGGAAGTTCTACCAGATGCAGAAAAATGGCCATCTTCACTTGATCCATCAAGTTTTTCTTCTTGAACAGCTCCAAGAGACACTGTACCTTGCACTTGTTCCTGACTCTTCTCATTAATTTTAGCTGGCATGTCAGAACTTCCAGAAACTACTGTAGCAGCAGAATTAGATGCTTCAACTCGGGAAACATGATTTGGAGCAGATTTGACAAGTGGATTCGAGGAAACAACTTTTTCGCTTTCCACAGAATGCATTTTCTCGGGCTCATTCAATTTCTGTGCAGAGCTTTCTCTTTTCATCTTTGCCTCCTTATTCACTTCCTTTTCCAGAGATTGATCTTTACCAAGTTCAACTTTTTTCTGGAAAGAGGTGTCTCTTTTCATTTTTACCACCGCCGCTGGTGCTTCTTGGTCGTTCATATGTGAACTATATGGCTGCTCGTGGGTAGAACCTCCTTCCCCATTCAGGTAACCACGGCTTGTACTAACAACAAAGTTATCTGTGAGTTGTGAGGAGTTGGGTGGATGAGAATCATGGTCGTACTGGGGAAAAACAGGGCTTTTGGCATCTAAATTTTGGAAGTTGTCAACAGGCATGGAAGTGGGTAAAGGTCTCCATTCAGCACCGCCATGATGAATAGTTTGACCATGGTACCCTTGTTGGTTGGAGTCAAAGGCATGCAATGAACTTGAAGCCATCACATGAGCAGATTGACCAGCTAGAGGCACACCACCCACTGAACGAGAAGCATCGGCAGCAACTCGACTATTCTCCCGAGCAATTGTTAAGCTAAGAAACTCATCCAGATTATTTCCTGAAGCACTCGCCAGAGCAATTGAGTTTCTTCTAGACCCGAAGTCCATGCCATTGACAGCAACAACATACTGCATCTCTGAATCTCCTTCAACATTCTCAAGACCAGCTTGAGCATCATCCAAGTCACTGTTAGAGAAGAGAAAAATCCGTAGCTTCTGTGATCCATCACCTTCTAGACCATTACATTCCTCTATCATATTCTGCACGTCCTCATCACAAGAAACTGATACCAATGCATCAAGATCCTCACCAGGAAGCTGATATTTTATGGTATGAGCTTGATTATATATTGTCAACATCTTTTGCATAAGCTCCGCATAAGAAACATCCTTGTTGACTCGAATAAGATGCGTATCACCTCCAACATATCTAAGTTTCCCATCACTTGGACGAGGCATAATTCTACCACCAAAACTGCAGAGACACCTTAGCTTTCCTGATGTACTAGACCTAGAAGATACATGGCTTTGAAACCCACGGATGTTGTTATTTCTTGATGAGGTTCTGGTCACAGATTGCAAAACTTGGTGGTAGGATTTCTCATCATTTACTGAAGTCCTAGTCCTCTCATGATTTTGATCTCGACCTTTTTCTATTGAGGCAATCACGGAGATATCTGATCCGGTTTCAGAACCTGTATGAGATATTCCAAGTATGTCCTTCAGGTCCATATAAGAAGTTGCACCAGTAGTCCCACCAGAAGCATGCGGAACGAGATGCTGCTTAGGGTTAACCCTTTCCCGCATGAATTCTAGAGCAAACTCCTCACCAGTCTGAATAGAATAATTCAGTACAGGCCTAGCTCCAACAGGTACAGCGAAATCAGGTGGTCTTATGTTCGTATTAATAGAACTTGATGGATCCTGGAAAAATCTCTCATTTGTAGAACCAATGACCTCATTTCTGGTCTCTACAGAGCTATAGCGACCTTGTTCATAGTTCTTTTGTCCCATCATACCTTTTCCAACATTTCTATCCATTTGAAACAATTCCCAAATTCACAGCCTAAGGAGACTGTTCCAAATAGAAATGAGATATAACCAATTTCTTATTTAGTCACACTTACTAAACTTTTTACAGGTGTATCATGATCACGTGCTAACAGCTGATCATTGTAATGACAGAAAGCAGCAACTAATTTCTTATTCATATGTCCCTCCGGATCTTCTACAGACATACCTTGATCTTGCAGTTGGGTAAAGAAACAGAAGCTGCAAGTCACAGTAACCAATGCTTTATCAGAGCAAGTTTAACGAGAAAAGGTTAGAAAAAAACTTGACATGATCCATGTCCAAAGTAATGTAAAAAACATAGTTAAGCAGTGATCTCAACAGTCCTAAGTGATTCTCCCTAATCGCTTCATACTATGTTGGCCTGTGAAGTCTGGCAGCAGGAGTTTGATTTCTGGAGATTAACATTAGTAAAATAAGGCTTGACGGGACTGATGTCCTAAGTACATCAATGGCCTTAAGAGACGAGTCCAGCATTCTAAAGGAAAAGCAACCTCTATTCAATTAATCAACAACAACAAAAAACCCAGTTTGATCCCAACAGGTGGGGTAAAAATACCTCTGTTCAATTAATCACAAATCATAATAAAAATACTACAAAACAACAACCACAACAATTTTACAAGTCCAAGCTATTTAGAGTTTGAATCCTAACTATTCATTTCCCTTCATTTGGAGGATTCTCATTTCAATATTCAACAATCGGGATTTTCTAACGCTATAGGTTCTCTTCATTTTCTACAGAGTACAGACCTATAAATCAGAACACAAATACTTCAGATAATTCAGTTAAGTTTAAATCTTTCCCACTTGTAAATGTCACAAAATTAGTCTCTTGAGGGATTTCATATTATGCCAAATATCTGAAGCTATTCGGAGTACACATGGGCAGGGCAGGGCCAAACAAATCAAAAACTTGGCCCAACCAAGGCCTTTCAGACCTAAGATCAAGCTCGAAGCTCAGGATCCAGCTCGTAAAGCTACAACATAAATAACTACCACTGAAAGGAATTCAGAAAACCTAATTTTCCAGTTCATTCAAACCAAATCCAAAACAAAAAATCGGTGAATCAGAACATATCAAATTTAACCGAAATAGAATAATCTAAGCCCTCGATCAAAAATAATTCACAAAAAAAAAATCAGAAAAAATACATCTTGCTGAGAGTGTTCATACTTGTTAACTAAAAATCGGTACCATCGAAAAGTCACCGGAGAGGAACCGAACGACGGTGCAATAACGGCGGCGAAACGATAGCATATGAAGTATGTGGAGATTTGGGTGAGAGATTTTTCTACATCACCACTACTTGGAGAGTCAATGGAGAGGTTTGCAAGGGTTGTGAATTGAAATGCCCTTTTGCCCCTGATGAAGTCTTAAATGATGGTACTCTGCAGCTTGACATATAGTACTATTTGGACATAGTTTTTGTTCCTATTCATGGTTTCTATTGGTTTGCTCGGCGAAGAGAAAGTTTTGCGTAGGGGCAATTTCGTCAACATGAAGAGATATGTGAAGTATCTATCACATGCGTCACGCTTACTCGTGATGTTACGAATGCAACTACCGTTTATTGTACTTTAAGTCCTTGTACTTCTATAAACCTTGCACTTTTGTCTAACTCTTAACTCAAATTTTCAAATGGTCTATTAAGTTTTATTTGTCCTGTAATATAAAGTTGAGCATGTACGATCCTTTAAGTTTAAACAAACGACGTGCACTTCTAGTTCATGTAAGACAATGAAACTCCAACACAATTCATTTAAACAAATGAGTGTCTTTAATTTAACACCCTGATCTAAGGTTGCTTTTGAGATATTAATGTTAAGTATGGACTATGAGGACTTTAAAGAGTTTAAAAAAATGACTTGATCCCTTTAGATTTTTATGAGTGATTGGTAGATGTATTTTAAGGAGTGAAAACCTCGTAAAATAAATGAATGAGGATGATAAATAATGGTTAGAAGTGTGGGTGGTCTTGGTCGTCAAATTATAACATGAGGAACGAGAAGCAAAGAACATAAAATCTTGTGAGGAGAGGAGAAAAAGTAAATACCATCAATTTGAAATATGAGTTATAAAATTCATATGTGGGGTACATCTAAGATGCAAGTATTAAGGTACAAAAGATTAATTTGAAAACTATAGTGATGCAACTGATCTACGGTGACTCGAGAAATAGCTAGGTTGTTTATTATTGTCATGTCAGATTGAAGTCATGTCTCATGTATGCACTCAAATTTTGGTAAATTTAACTTCTTGTTAGCTAAAAAGCTAAACTTCAAAATAATCGGTGAAATAAAAACCTTCCTAATCTAAATAATACTTAACATGGTCATAATTTCTCATAGAATATTTAACTAACACATTTTATATTTTTATTCATATGCAGTAAATTACAGTTAACAAAGTACAATGGAGAACAATGAAAGCATTAGGTTAATTAGAAATGATAGCAATAAGAGTTATGTTTATGCAAATAATATGATTGTTTGCAACATTCAATGAATTTTACGATGTTATGAAGACGTTGGGACTTATCAATAAGTATTAATCTATTTACAAAGAACACCCAATCAAGGAACACATTAGTGTCTGGTATAAGAGTTGAACCTATAGAAAAATTAACAACAATCAAGTTCTCAAGAATGCCATTATAAATGACATTATAATATTGGAGAAATTAATGTATAGTTCACCTCCCAAGAAAGATTGCAAGCATTTGTAAAGGTTTAGAGGACAATTAACTGCGCAAGCATGGCTAGTAAAAAATAGGTCGAACACAATGGAACAAAAATAATATAAGTGAGAGATAAAGAGACAAGAAGAAGATACAGTGCATATTATGTGATAAATACGTTCGAGAAAATACTCATAAATAATGTGGGCAAGACGGCAATGGTATCCCTATCATTATCAAATCCCCCCAATACTTACCACATATGAAATATGATAGGGAATTATTGTCATATATATCTCGTTTCTTCTTGTAATACATGCTAAGTATGTTAGGGGAGAGTTGTATAACTTGTCAAGCACTATAAGTGTATGTAATTTGTTAATTATATATTTATTATTATTTATGTTATTTCCACTATTGTTTAAAACATATACTGATTTAAATTTTAAAATAAACTTCGGCTTACGAGTCATTGCCCAAACTAGTGCAACGTTATTTTGATAGTTTACCCAAGCACGAATGAGTAGTATTTTCTCGAGATTTGTAAAAGTATTTAGTGGGAGAGTGCGTGCGCTAATGGCTAAATAAGCTCAAAATAGGGAAGACAAAAAGAAAATTGTTATGATAAATATCATATTATGGTGGATGACTACTCTTCTTCCGTGATTTACATCTCAAATGCTTAATGACATATTCAATGACATATTTTGTATGTTCAATGACATATTCCATGACATATTTTCTTCACTTTTATGCCTATATAAAGGCCTTGTAATAGATAGGAAAATGCACACAATTGAAGAAGAAATAAGAATTTTTCTTCCTCTCTTTCTCTCTATATCTCTTAGTTTGTTTTTGCTTGTTCTATATTATTATTTTGGGTTATATTTTATAACACGTTATCAGCACGAGGCTCTACAATCTCAAGAAGATCTTTGAGAAAATTAAGGTATAATTTTTCTCAAATTTGTATTTTTTTTAAATGTCTGATATTATGAAAAGAAAGTTCGTTGCCCTTGAAATTTCGGATAAGAACTATATGACATGGGTATTGGATGCTGAAACTCATTTAGATGCAATGGGTCTTGGAGACGCCATTAAAGATAAAGATAAAGCATCTACACAAGACTGTGCTAAGGCCTTGATTTTCTTGCGTCATCACCTTGATGAAGGGTTGAAAATTGAATATCTCACAGTGAAAGATCCATTTGTTTTGTGGAATGGTTTAAAGGAAAGATATGACAACTTAAAGTTGGTCACTCTTCCACAA